GAGAAAACCCCCTCCAAAAAAACCCCACAACATACCATCGAGAGCCGACTCCAACAAGCTGACATTGTTGACCGCATGAGCCCAAGCGACCCTGCTGGCATCCCCCCGGACCCCAGGAAAGAACTCCACGACCGACGGAATGCTTGGTTCGACGAGCTTCTCCCCGACGAAAAAGCTCACCACTGTCCCCAAAACATGAAAAAACCGTCGAGACCCCGCCGCACACCGCGTCGAACCGACGGAACGACCCACTCACCCATCTGCACCACGGGACTGAAGATGTACCCAAAAATCGCCATGGCTGGAAGCCGGTATGCCACAGCGCGTACACTCGACTGAATAACACCTGACTATGGATCCCCCCCATCGACCGGGACGGAGCCCATCACCACGCAGACGCGCCCTGGCGCCGAGTCCTTCAAAGAAAGCATGCGTCAGTGTGTCTCCTTCCCTCGACCGCGTCGATGTGCAGTCGGTTACTAGTGTCCGATGTGAAGGTCGCAATCGGGCTTCGAAGCTCCCGCGGTCCTCCACTGAGCATTGCGCATGCGCGGGGTCTGGGGATGTTCCGCGCATGCGTAGTCGGACAGTCGGTCACTTGAATTCCTCAAGAGGAAAAAAAAAAGAGGAGGGTCTTCATGTGTTCATTTCTCCCCCTCGTTTCTTCGGTGGAAAGTAGGCCCACGGCGGCCGATGCACCTTTCACTTTTCCTTCTTTTTCTCCGCATTCGCGTCCGTGCTCTCGGTGAGGCCACACGCTCGCGCGATTCGATTGTTGACGGGGTCACCCGTGTCATGCGCCGTTCGACCGGCCCCCGTGGATGACTTGCGCTCTCGGCAGGATCAAGCGAGTCGGTCGGTCGCGGTGGATCGATGCGGGGCCTCAGCTGATCGGCCATTCCGGAGTCGGAGCGGGATGGGTGAATCGGGGATGAGTGTAATGGGGTGATTGTCGGCTGTGTGCATAATTGCGAGTGTATCTCTATCAGCAGCCGTGAGTTACGTTGAGTCACGCGATGCTCGATTCATCACCTCTCGTTCTCGAGTGGCTCGCCCCCCTTGGAACGGACTCAAAACGGGGAAGGTCGGGAGTCGGTCTCGTGGGTCGAGTCAGACGAGAGTCGGCTTTAAGGAGGATAATGAACCCAAGAAGAACGGGTTCCACAGAGCCGCGAACACGATGGCGGCGGCGTGGGAGCACGTGGGAAGCGGCTGCATGTGCGAATGTCATTTTTGCACGTGGAAGTGCACGATCTCTCGATCGGGTGACGAGTGGCGATAAGGATGGGCTGACCGCGGTCCCAATGCCCTTGCTCTCGAGCTCGAGTGCGGGGGGACGTGGCGCGTCGTGCTTGCGTTAGGCCTTGCATTAAGCCTATCGGCACCGGCGAGTCGGTTCGGGCTGGACTGATCTTGTGTCTCGTGGGTCTTAGAACCGGTGTGAATCATGTCGGCCAAGGCCATCAGCGAAGCGACGGGGAAAGATCTCCTGAATCGCTTCCTGAAGGGGACGGCAGAGAAGTGCCATTTTACTTCGGTGGATGAGGAGAAATGGAAAGACTGGAAAGCTTTGCTCGAAGATAATGCTTGGATGCAGAATCAGGTAAGCACAGGTTAGGTCTGGCCGAATCATTTCGATTTTTCAACAGAAGTATGCATTGAACATGGGATTAAGCATGTAGCATAGGATAGAAGAATTCAAATGAGGGCAAAGAGTAATGTAGGGCAGACAAAATGAGAGTACAAGTATGCATTCAATAAAATGAGAGCAGGGAAGGGTATTCATCCTGCAGCCCTTTGTTCTTATTAAAGAAGTTAGTCTTGGCCATGAAAAGCTGCTTGCAGATACTTTTGGCTTCTACCTCTCTTTTCCCTACTATTATATATTTTTGTGGCTGTACTTGTTACAGTAGGCTAGTAGTGTAGGATCATATGCGATTCTAAGTAATTCCTCATTGAAAATATGCAATTGTTTGCTTGTATCAAGGAAATGATACCTTTATTCCTTTTATATCTGAAAGCTTGGCAATAAGAAGTGCTAAGGGAAGTTTAAAGTTTCATTGTGCTAAAGTCAATTTTATGCAATCCACCCCAGGTCTCTTTCTGGAGGCAATTTACTCCTCCATTTTTTTTTTTTACTCATTTCCAGTCATCTTTGTTGCAATTGTTTATTTGAAAGCATTTGGTGGTGAAACCGGATCAGCTCATCAAGCGAAGGGGGAAGTTGGGTCTCATCAAAGTCAATACTGATGTGACTGGAGTCAAATCATGGATTGGAGAACATATGGGAAAACCTCAGACGGTGAGACCGAAAGAACAATGGCATACATATAAGGTTGCTGAATTTTTGAATTTTCATGTCTATCTCACATGAATACTTTCCAGGTGGGTCGAGCAGTTGGCATGTTGAGGAACTTCATCATAGAGCCCTTTACTCCCCACAAAGAAGTAAGTTTCCAAATACAGAGCTGAAGGTAATTCATTTTTAAACCTTGGATCGTCATGAGGATTTTCTCAACTGCTCAGGATGAAGAGTGCTACGTCTGCATCCACTCACACCGTTACGCAGACACGATCCTCTTCTATCACCAAGGAGGAGTTGATGTGGGAGACATTGATTCTAAAGCCCTGAAGCTTCATGTTCCAGTTGGAGATACCCTCGACCTTCAAAAAGTCAAGGAGACTCTTCTGGCAAACATTTCGGCCGACAAGAAGGAGTCGGTCCCTTCGTGTTCTTGGCAGGAAATGCTTTGAGGCTGCATTTTGGAATATTGATGAAATTTTCATTCCAGAATCACTGCACATTTCATCGAGGATCTGTATAGAGTATATCAGGACCTATACTTCACGTACTTGGAGATCAACCCCCTTGTGGTGTCAAATGGGAAAATACATATCTTGGACTTGGCAGCCAAATTGGATTCCACAGCTGAGTACATTTGCAAGGTGAAGTGGGGCGACTTCAAATATCCACCTCCGTTTGGGAGAGATGCCTACCCGGAGGAAGCATACATAGCCGATTTAGATTCCAAGACTGGTGCATCCCTCAAAGTCAGTCTGGTACCTATGTGTCCTTGATGACAAGGCTTGCCAAGGACCAGTGAATATTGTTGTATCGCTCGATGCATTGCAGTTGACGATCCTCAATCCATCCGGGCGCATATGGACGATGGTGGCAGGCGGAGGTGCATCCGTCATCTACAGTGATACCATTTGTGACCTAGGAGGAGCTGAAGAATTGGCCAACTATGGAGAGTATAGTGGAGCACCCAATGAACAACAGACCTATGATTATGCCAAGACCATCCTTTCTCTGATGACTAAAGAAAAAGATCCTAGGGGCAAGGTATGATATCTTAGCTTGCCCTTTGTGTCCATTCAGAATGTTTTGGTGAGGCCTGTTGCTTTGAAAATCCAGATCCTGATCATCGGTGGAGGGATAGCGAATTTCACAAATGTGGCCACCACTTTCAAGGGTATTGTAACAGCTTTAAGGGAGTTTCAACTGAAGCTTTTGGAGCACAAGATCCAAATCTATGTCCGGAGAGCTGGTCCCAATTATCAAGAGGGCCTGAGGTAATCAAAATGTTTCTAATTCATTCTCTGTAATTCCTCAAATATGTGTTGGAATTGTATTGCAATGGGAGTTTTCTTCCATCACCAGGGTGATGAGGGAAGTTGCCAGTACACTGGGTCTCCCACTCTATGTGTTTGGGTCTGAGACACACATGACAGCCATCGTTGGCATGGCACTTGGAAAGAGACCAGTACCATCAGAGCTAGAGGTGGAAACCCACACTGCCAATTTTCTCTTGCCTGGAGGGATGCAGAATATGGTAAGGCAGCATGCATGGAAGGGAGGGAAATTTGTTACTTGCATGTTCTGAATTCATTTTTTATCTCTTCTCCAGAGCCCTGGCACAAGGAGAAAATTATCAAAGGAGCCTGTTGTTGGAGATAAAATTGCACAGGCAGCTGAGGATGTGGGGAGGAAGATGGCTTCAGGAAAGGATGCCATCCTCTTCAGAAAAGATACTAAAGCCATCATTTGGGGCATGCAAAACAGAGCCGTCCAGGTAATGAAGGGGATTGGTCTCTCTGTCACAAGAGAGGAGCTGTTCATCAATGGGGCATTCTTTGCATCTAGGGGATGCTAGACTTTGATTTTGTCTGTTCGAGGAACAAACCATCTGTTGTGGCCATGATTTATCCTTTCACGGGTGATCACAAGCAGAAGTTCTATTGGGGTCACAAGGAAATCCTCATTCCAGGTAGGTTTTCATGGTCCCTGATTTCTTGCATGATTTTCTTCCTGGCCTTTCATGATGCTTTCCTTCAGTGTATAAGAGCATGGATGTTGCCATGAAGAAACATTCTGATGCAAATGTTCTTGTGAGCTTTGCTTCCCTGCGTTCTGCTTATGAGAGCACCTTGGAGACTCTCCAGTACCCACAGGTACAATATTTGGCCCATTGTATTGGTTCATGAAATACTGATCCTTGGGACAGTCCGAGTAGCTCATGCATTGTCTCTGCACTTGCAGATCCGAACGATTGCCATAATTGCCGAAGGGATCCCAGAAAATCTCACCCGCAAACTGATCAAAGAGGCAGATGCCAAGGGTGTGTCTATCATAGGACCTGCCACAGTTGGTGGGATAAAGCCTGGCTGTTTTAAGATTGGCAACACTGGAGGCATGATGGATAACATCATCAGCTCCAGACTCTATAGACCGGGATGTGTTGCATACGTCTCTCGAAGCGGGGGAATGTCCAACGAACTCAACAACATCATCAGCCGAGCTACCAATGGGGTTTACGAGGGAGTAGCCATTGGGGGAGATCGATACCCTGGCACCACATTCATGGATCATTTGCTTCGATATCAAGAAGATCCAAAGGTGAGACTGCCACCAGTGTTGACTCCTGACAGTTTGAAATCAGATAGTGTGTACTGAAGTCTCTCATCACACTTGGAACCTGATGCAAGTCTGTGCTCTGAATGTCCAGGTGAAGTTGCTGGTTCTCCTTGGGGAAGTGGGTGGCATGGAAGAATACGAAGTGTGTGAGGCTCTGAAAAGTGGCAGCATCAGCAAACCCCTCGTGGCTTGGTGCATTGGAACCTGTGCTGGTGAGGACTTCTGTCAATAATCCCTGACTTGTGTAATTACCGTTGTCATGGCATGCCATTGATGGTATACCCATTGGCCTTCCAGCAATGTTTGCTACTGATGTCCAGTTTGGCCACGCAGGAGCGTGTGCCAATGCCGAGCAAGAGACTGCTACAGCTAAGAACAAGGCCTTGAAAGAAGCTGGGGCCAAGGTCCCATCAAGTTTTGATGATCTGGGCGAGTTCATCAAGGAGGTGTATGAAGAATTGCTGAAGAAAGGAGTCGTGGTTCCCGAAGAGGAACTGCCACCTCCTACGGTCCCCATGGATTACTCTTGGGCCAGGGAACTGGGTCTCATCCGTCGACCAGCTTCCTTCATGACCACCATTTGTGATGAGAGGGGTCAAGAACTGCTCTATGCTGGAATACCCATCACTGAAGTAAAGTGGACGAGATATATTGTTGTCATTCTGTGCATTCTTCAGCTAATTATTGATAATGCTACCCTCTGAACAGATATTCAAGGATGACCTTGGGATTGGAGGTGTTCTCTCTCTCCTGTGGTTCCAACGGCGTCTCCCTCCATATGCTGCGAAGTTCTTTGAGATGTGTCTCATGCTGACTGCTGATCATGGCCCGGCTGTATCTGGGGCTCACAATACCATTGTCTGTGCTCGAGCTGGCAAAGACCTCATCTCCTCCCTTGTCTCTGGTCTCCTCACTATTGTCAGTCACATTATTACCTTTCTCTTCTTTTCATACCCTTCTGGATTTCACAAGATTTGGTTCACATTGCAGGGAGACAGGTTTGGCGGTGCTCTGGATGGTGCTGCTAGGCAGTTCAGTGAGGGATATGACACAGGTCTCATTCCCATGGAATTTGTAAACCACATGAGAAAGAAAGGGGAGCTCATCATGGGCATTGGACACCGTATCAAATCGGTATGTCTTTCAACTGCCCAAATGTTTGTTTCATGGATACTAATTGATTCACATATGGCAGATCAACAACCCAGACATGAGAGTGACGATTTTGAGGGACTATGTGAAGGCAAATTTCCCTGCCACTCCTCTCCTGGATTATGCAATGGAGGTGGAAAAGATCACAACTAGCAAGAAACCCAATCTTATTCTCAATGTTGATGGTGTGATTGCAACATCATTTGTGGATCTGCTTCGCAATTCGGGCTGCTTCACCAGGTATGAAACTGATACTAGCATTCTTCCATATTTATGTAACTTGATGTTAAATGATACTCTTGACCTTGCAATGTGGTGCAGGGAGGAGGCCCAGGAATACATAAGCATTGGCACCATCAATGGTCTCTTCGTTTTGGGACGGAGTCTTGGCTTCATTGGTGAGTCTTCTTAGCAATTGCATATATATTGAAAAGTCCCATTTAAAAAATGCAAATATTGAAAAGTGATAAGAAAAGTGGAGTCTCTTCAACGCCTAGTGCAAATGTTAGGATAGGGCAGTGATTAAAATCAAAATGATTGTTACATGCTCCACTGATATCTTTTTACTGCTGAAATCAAGAAATGGGGAAAGAATTCATGAGGGGACATTTCTTCCAATTCCAGGCTTTTTTTGAGTGCCAGGGCATGGATTCTCCTTAGAGTGTCATTGGAAACTATGCTTATATGATAAAAACTGTAGTCACAGCTGAAGAATTGACTTTTTTGGGTTTGGTCATTGGGTTTGCAGGTCATTACCTGGACCAGAAACGACTGAAGCAGGGCTTGTATCGCCACCCCTGGGATGACATCTCCTACGTTATGCCGGAGCAATATCAATAAGTACATCTGATGGGGGAACCTTCATTTCAAAGCATTTTGAGCATCTTGCTTCCTTGATTCATTATTCAAAGATCTGTCTTGTCCTCTGACATTCCAAAGACTAACTACTGTTGGTGTTTATCCAAGTCAGAGTTTTAATTTGCCGGTGCTGGTTGTTCACTGGATGATCCAGTTTCCATGACAGGTTTTAGAAAGCTTCATTCACAACAGGTCATGTTGTTTCAGTACTGAATCATAATTTTGATGCAAAACCTACTATATATGACACTGTGATAGGCAAGCTTTTAGAGCTCTATAGTTTGTCCGAGAAGTGGTTTACAAAATGAATACCTGCTAAGGTTTGGGCTGTAAACTGTTATTCATGCAGAGACTGAAAACAATTTTAAATATTTTACTTCATTCATTGAATTCATTCAAAAACGGGCACTTGTGAAGTTGGGGATCCATACGTCGTCCATGGAGCTGTAACCATGGACACCAGTTAATTATATAATTACAGTTGATGTGGTCATGAAAAATACACTAATATTAGATTGATTTGCATACCAGGTATGTTTTTATGCTGAAAAAAAACAAACAAAAAATTAGAATATATCTGGTACTGAAGGTAATAATCCATGTATTATGTATGGAAGAAGGGATTATTTGCTTTTCTAATGTCTACTCCAGGGAACTGGACATATCATCAACATATCAATTTTTATGATATGCCTATACACAAAGCCATCCATGCTGGTGCATCTGTCTGTAATGCAATGTAATGCCATCAAAATAATCTCAGAATTTTTGATTCCACAACTAGAATGTTATAGGTTTGAAGAGTGAATGCTCATGTTTTGTGGGGTTGAGGGATCATTATTCCTTGCTTCATGTCTCGAGGTGGAATTTTAGAGGCATTAGAGAGAATCTCAGCTTTTGATGTCAGGGTTTTCAGTATGCAAATATGGGTAAATTCTTAAAGAAAATACCCTTGGGATGGTTTTCCCTAAACATTGTGTGAGAGACGGGACCTCTTGATCATATGCTCTTTCTCATATCTAGCTCTTTTCCTGTCAAGAATTAGAGAGAATAAACAAGGAAATGGGATAGAGTGTCTGGCATTTATGATTTCAAGAAGACATCACTCTTGTACATGAGCATCCGTGAAGTTTTAATCTAATCACAACAGGAAATCCTGCAGCATCATGTTTTCCACAAGGAGTGAGTATCACAACAAGATATCCAGATATTGCTGTTTCAAAGAAGCCCAAGTAAATCTGGATAGAGAAGGCAAAAGGTTGTTGGCCTCTTCATGAGCTGAGTTGGGATTCTGGGCAAATTTGATAAGGGCATTGAGAAGTTGAGCTTCAGTCCTGTAGAGGCAATGTGGAGGGAAAATCTCAGGATATGAGAGTCGATCAGGACAGAGGGGGAAACAACCACTAAGAGCTCCTTCCAACCTTGAAAAAAGGAACAGAGACTCAATGTCTTCCATGCAAGAACTCCACCTGATGGGATTATAAATGGGAATCATCTGAATAACCTACATTGCCACACCATAAAACTCATGGACTGCCGTAGAGACACACACATGTGCAGAATTCATAACTTGAAAATAGTCCTCTTTGGATTCTAAAAACCCAAAGTGCTTGATATGGGATGCTAATGATACTCTGGCATCATCGAATACAGCTGGAACTTCAGAGAAGCCCTGGCCCAAGATGGACAAATGGAACGGAATGCCCTCTCGATCCAGCTCCACCAAAACTCGGAAAAACACCTCTGGTCCTTTATCGTGCTCCCTGCATATTCCAAAACTTATAATCAGCTTAAGATGGATGAGTGAAAAGTAGATCACTTTGAACACAAACCATCGATGTGGCCAAACAATATGTAAAGGTCCATCGATGTGACTGACTTGAAGACGAGGCTCCAAAGCAATAGGAAAGTACAGAACCTGACATTTAGGTCGAATTTTTTCAGCCAAACCCTTTGGTCTGTAGTCGGGTGAAAGACTGAAGAATGAATCTGTAGAATCCAGGAAAGAGTTCATGTTGAAAAGGGAATTGAACACCACAACATCTGCAACCAGACTAGAGACAAAATGCATCATGAAAACCTGCAACAAACTAAATTTGAAGTGCAGATGGTCCAGAAATCCTACCATGAGAGAATCTGGTTGTATCCATATTGAAAGTCCCTTTCTTTCTGCTGCCTCTTTGGGTAGATCAACTGATTTTCATGGAAGTAGAGAACCTTCTTTAGGGTCCCAAGGTCTGGTCGAAGAGCAACTAACTCGGCAAGGTTAAGGACACTGCTAGTGAACAACGTCCTGCAAAATGACACACAGTACCCTATTTTACGAAGTACTTCATACGCTGCTACATTTTGTTGACCATGCCCAGGAATGTTTGACTACCTGAAATTCTTGTTTTCTGGAATCTCCTGAGACAAGTGAAGAGCACTGATGCGAGCCCGCCAGTGCCATTTCTTTGCTGTCATTGTCACCAATTTCAAGTCATTTGCAAATGACTCACACAACAAATCCATTAACTGCCTGTGTGAGCCACCATAAAAAGGTTCCACACACAGGATCATCCTTGAATTGATGCTTAGAATATTTTTTAAACCTGAGGATGAAACCACATGATTAGTGTATCTTGAAAATCTCCATTTATTCACAAAAACAAACCAAACCAATAAAGAAAATAAACTGAACCAATATATGTAAATATAATTTCAAGAATTAATGCAAAACAAGGCCAGGAAGGAATCATTCCTTTTATCACCAGAAGGAATTACTTTATATTGTAAAAAATGAAAATCATCTCAATAAAAAACAAATTACAAAACATTACTATGATTGAATTGCTGAGGTCCACCTCATGCAACATTTATGAGCAATATTGGTGCATAATCTGCACCACAGACATGCCCAGAATCTTCTTTCACTAAAACTTGTCAGACATCAAATTCCAACAGATTCACAGAAAAATTTTTCAAAGGCATCAATGCCATGAGCAGGAAAACAAACATTGTTACATATTCAATGCTGCATAGGCCTCAGCATCTCATTTAAAAAAACAAAAAAAACACTTTGCTTTGATGATGCCAGTTCAAGGAGACTTGGGCTTCTTGATGCCTCCATACAAAGTACATAAAGATCTGAACAAAAACCAATTAAATTGGTCCCAACCCAGCCAGTATAACCTCCAGTTTTTGTTTTTGGATTTCTTTCAAAGCATGAAACAACAAAAAAATGGAATAAATGACAGAACAGATGTGTAGAAATGGTGGTATTTTCGAACAAAACCAGTTAACATTACCAATGTGGCCCCAATCAGAATCACACCAAGCACATTGGTTAAAACCCACTGAACCCAACAATTCCAATTCCTTCATGCCTAAGTGATAGGCCTAGCCACAATACCATTATGGTACAGCAGCCAAATCTTAGCAGGATGGCACTCTCTCAACGGTAGAATCTCAAGTATACGTAGAACACGCCATATGCAGCCACGAGGCCAAAGAACATCAGAGCGACCTTCTTCGTGAGATCACGATACACCGTGGGAGCATTGGCTTTTGCGACTGCCTTCTGCTTCTCATCTTTCACTTCTCTCTTGTTCCTCTTGTACACTTCCTTCCCAATCTCCTTCCGATAGTCTTCCATCGGTGTGGAACCTGAATCTTTTCGTGCTCTACCCATTTCTCTGTGTGCATATACACCTGTGTGACATTAAAAGGAAGGGGATAAACTAGCCTGCATGAAAGATTGTTACAGTTAAATAAGTAACTATGACAAAAAATGATGCTTTGCATCCATTTCCATCAGGAATGAAGGGTTCCTCTTGGTTCTAGTTCAAAATTAATTTTGCTCTAAAATGTAGAAAAATACTTTGGACTTAGGATTCCCATCAGAATAGGTCTCATAAAAACATCTCAACCTATTTGACTAGACGTAGTGGACTAGGAGTACTTTCTGTAATCTTATACATAGTGATTGCAAATGACTTCATATCAACTTAAGCCAATAATTCTATGAGATCAAATTATTTCTCCATTTTTCCTCCCTCTTCCATAATAAAAAAACTTCCTATTAAAATAGCAATAAAGGACCATACACAAAAACATAAATACATGTCTTCATCAGGTAGATTTAAAAAATGCTTTTGAAGACAGAAATTAGCCAGACAACCAGTTCATTTAGCCATTCTTGCCTACCCTTTTCAGCTCAATTACTACAAGTGTAGCAAAGAATGGAAATCTACAGGAGTGAGGAATTTAAATCAAGAATGACTTAACATTTGAGATTTCTTCTTTAAACTGGATGTTGTCCTGAACTATGAGAAGAGTGGAAGTAATTTCTCATAATTTGAAATACTGCTTCAACTGAGCCTGCCCACTTATGATAAACAGCTATGTGGCAAAACGTAAAAAAAAAAACAAGAAATCACATATGCAAGGTAGTAGTGATTAAAAGTTTTCTTTAACCTTTTGAGGTCAGAATATTTTGAATATGTCAGCTCTGTCACTGAATTTTTTCCATACCTTAGCACTACACCAACACAAGATGACTCGGGCATGAACCCCAAAAGGTTAAAGGGTCTCTGTCACACCTGAGTTTCAGGAGAAAGGAATGCCATATAAAGAGCCAATACAAACCTGCTGGCCCATTTTCATTTAAAAGTTCAGCTAAATGAATACTGGGCATAGGTCAAGGACATTATTAACCAATACAAAAATAGCATGCATTCAGTGCACCTCACACTAAATAATCTAAATCTTCAGTTTGAAAGAAAAGTCTGAACCTATATAACAAGGCTGCATGCAACCAGCAACTCCACCTCCTACTTATTGTAAGATGACATAAAGGATATTCCTTTATTTTGTGCACATTGTCAAATCCTGGGAACACTGCACATGAATCTCAACTTTGTTATGAGAACACCAACTTCCAATGAGGACTTAATATCTACTCCCATGTTCAATGTGGAATGTGCTGCCCAATGTAACAATGAGCAGGATGAATGCCCAGTATATATGGAGATGGTCCATTCATTTGATTAATCTGTCAAAAAGATCAATCAAATGAAGTGAAACAGTGTCCTTCCTCAGGTTTATATAGTGTGCCATCATGTCTTTTAAACCAAATGCTCAAAATCCATAACTACATCTCTGACTAACATTTCCAATCAATTGTTGCTCACAATGAAGTTCCCTGCATCTATCAAGGAGGTGAAAATCACCCCATTCTGAAAGTGGCAGTATCCCAGGAGCCAAAAGACTTTCATCCTGTTGGCAATACTTTACATCCTGAAAGTCAATAAATACACCTTGCTTGATTAACTGAAGAAATATGGAGCTCTACCTTCTGCTACTCCCTGGTTAGGGTAGAAGCCAAAGAGATTGACACTTAATGCTGTCACTCATCTTCACTAGATTACAAAATTCAACAACAGGGAGTCTTGAGCAATTTGCTGTCGTTTAGCTTATTACAGCTCCGCTTTCAACTGCATAGACCTATCTGCCATCTCCTTCCTTGCAAGCAGAGGTTCTAAGAGGCATCACCAGCTACTTCAGAAGAAATTACGACACGTGCAATGGGGGAGTCACACATCCTCCCTTGCAAAACAGGGTGTAACAAGGTAGCACCTTCCTTCCCTCTTCTTGTATGCCCTCTACAGCAGTGGTTCTCTACCTGGGAGGTGTCACCCCCCGAATGCATGAAGGTTCAATGGGAGTAAAAGGAAGGTTGAGAACCACTGCTCTACAGGAATTGTCTCTGCCTGTCACAACCAACTTATCATCGCAATCAAATCCACTGAAAACACAGTGATTGCAGCATTGATTATATCAGAATCAGATTTCACCTTCTGTGCAGCTCAAATTCAACATCTCCATGACTGGTTTGCCTCAGAGATACCACACCTTAACCCAGAGTAACGTCAAGAGCTCACCACATTCAATAAAGGTCTCTAAAACTCAGCACTCCTGAAGTTAAAAATCTTCAAATAAGTAGTAGGTATAAAAAGCCAAGATATCATGGCTGTCATGAAGGTCAAATACTTAGGAATATCAATTGATGATGAACTCAAATTTGATGAACATGTGTGCTAGACCTGCCAAAGCTGTACCATTTTGCCATCAATCTCCACATGGATAATAACAAATTTGTGAGCTCATTGGGTATGCACAAGATGAAGGAATACCATATTTATCATGAGGTGTATTTTGCCAGTGCTTCCTTTTGAAATGGCTATATACACAAACTTCACCTAAAAGGAATCCTGCACACTCATGAGGATTCTAAAAAGGTTTGCCCAAATCTTCAGGCAGAACATCTCCACCTATCTGGCAGAACTCATCAGAAAAGAGAATGTGGATGGAGAATGAATCTCCTCTCTACAATGACCCATCCTCTTTTCCCCATTATGAAGAGCTTGTACAGGACAACCAATGTGCAAGGTGACTTGAAGCATGACGAATCTAACTGATACTTGAATAGACAAAACGAGGAGCATGCTACTCAAGAATGATGATGCAAGAACAGGTGTTACTTCCTTAAAAGTTTTGATGAGTCATAACCAAGTGAATAAAATTATGTCACTCATTGAGTTCTTTGAGTGAAGTCTAAATAGAAAAACTTGGGCCTAAGAAACCTATCTTTCCCATTTTAGGCATGGCATCTATTGTAGTGTCAGATGAAATTGCTTCTCCAGTGTAATTTTGAGTGATTAAAGTCAACATTGGGGATTGAAAATCTGTGGTACCTGACACAACTCTCGGCTGCTGTAGCAAACAGGATGCCCTTTAAATGGCTGTAGTGATGTTATAATGAAGCATATGAACTACACCTGAAAAAGGCTGGCAGGATACTGCCCATGCTTTGTGATGACACAGCTATGCTTTCAATCACATATAATGGCAGCACTCTGTGGCTAGTCCATGAACTTTTCCACATTATATGCCAACTTATAACACTGCGGAAGCATTGCAGAAGAACTCTCATTTGCGAAGTACTGCAACACCTCAAACTGCCAATCTGAGCCTATGGTAGCTAATATACACGAATGTGTAAATCCTAACTCCCTGTTACAACTTCTAGTCATGGTGTGCTTGGCAAATATAAATGGCCAGATATATTCAACTTACTGCAACCAAGAAACAGGTGCAGTTCTTGAGAGTACTACCTACTGTGTACATTGAACAAGGGGAAGCAAAATTAATCTGTTGAATATATTGCATTTGTAGATACAATCATGCAGTTTCTCTTCAAGAAATGCAGTAAGAAAACTCAGCCAAATGAATAAGATCCTGCTCCTGGTGTGCTAGCTGATGCAGTAAGCTATTTGACAAAGAAACAATTTCAATCCTCTCCTCTCAGTCACCCTGGACTAACGAACAACTGCATCAAGTTAGCAGACCATAAGTCCAAAATCTCTACCTCTCTGAACCAACCACTCTTCCTCACCTCCAAGTCCAGGCAAGCCTAAGCATATGAACAAGGAAAGTGACCATGAATAACTTGACTTTAAAAAGTCATCGATCTTCAGAAAAGCAAAAAAAAAATTCAAGATCACAGTAAAAAAAACTCGAGGAAATAGGCTAGGCTCAGGCCTATGACCTCTCGATGTACTTCATCTAAATGATCATGTGGCATAGGAACCTCTG